TGTGTGTGTATATATATATATATATATATATATATATATATATAAAATTATTATTAAATGGTAGTAAAACTATGTTTAGAAAAAAGACTAAAATATAATAATAATAATTATTATTATTATTATTTTCTTTTTGCTGAACATTCATTATTTTTTTTTTGCTGAACATTCATTATTTATGTTTAGATTTATTTAAGTTTGGGTAAATTATAATAATCTGTTGATTAACATTACAATTTTTACAGGGACAGTACCTCTGGAGCAACCTTGGGTCAAGGACACTGGCCAGAGTTCATAAACTGACCTTTGTGGGGTTTGAACCATTAGTTTGCCAGCTTTGATTTTAAATCACAAGGCTACACTGCATTAATAAAGCAATAATGATGTTTTTCAAAATCCTGTCCTGATAACTGTACATTAAACATCAGATAACATCTGATTGTTGAAAATGTAAATGTGTCATGCTCTGTTGCATTTTCATATTCAGTTTGAACTGTCAAATTGCATTTCGCTGTTTGGTAAGCAGCAAGTGGTTTGTATCCACTAAAAAAAACAAAAAAACACTTGAATGCATGTTGCTTTTACAGGTTCAAGAACTGCTTCGTTCACACCAAAGCCAGAATGCCAACTACAGCAAAGACCAGGAGAAACTGGGACAGCTTCATAAAGCAGAGGTGGATTCACTGACCGAAAGGGTCGAGGAACTGAAACGGGACAAGAAGCGTCTGGTGGAGGAGTACGAGGCCAAGCTAAATAAAGCCCAGGCCTTCTACGAACGGGAACTGGAGGCCATGAAGCGCACGCAGCAGATGACCGCAGAGAACCTGCTGGCCTGGAAGAAGACCGAAGCGGAGCTGAGGAAGGAGTTCCAGGCGCAGGAAGCGGCGCTGCAGAAGACTCTGGGGAAGCTGCGCAGCGAACTGCAGCGGGTGCAGGATGAGGCCAGGGAGAGCAGGGAGAAATCCCACAAAATGCAGGCCTCTCTCATTGCTGCGGAGAACAACATCAAGGTAAACCACCAGATGCATCACATGTCCTTTGAAATAAAATGATAGGGGTTAGATACAACATAGCACTTTATGACACTTTTGTCTTTTCCTTTTAACTTCTTGGTTTGATTTCATTTATTTATTTTTTCATTTTTTATAGCAGTAAAGCTGTTTTAGAACAATGTATATTGTAAAAAGCTAATTTAATTCAATTTAATTAAATTTAAAAAAATTATTTAAATTAAATAAATAAAAAATAATAATTAAAAAAATTATTTAATGGTATTGTTCACCCAAAAATGAAAATTCTGTCATCATTTACTCACCCTGGTATTACTTTCTGGTCACACTTTGGTTTGGGGGCCAATTCTCACTATTAATTGACTATTAACTATGAATTTTGTACTAATAAAAAAGTACTAATAAACAGCCAATATGATACGCATGCTAATAAGTAACTAGTTAATAGTGAGAATTGGTCTATAAATGGAAGTGTTAGCAACTTTCTTTTGATATTTAGAGGATATATTGAAGACAGTTTGTAACCACAGTGACTTCCATTGTGTTTGTCCATACATTATTTAGCGGACTATCAATTCAGTTCAGTTCAGTTCAATTCAGTTCAACAACTTAACTTAACCTAACCTAACTTAACCTAACCTAACCTAACTTAACTTAACTTAACTTAACTGTAAGGCATTTGCGAACATCACACCAATGAACGATGGAATCTCCGCATTCCATCAGAAAACTAACATCTCTTCTCAACCATATGAGAGTCGTAAAAGCTGAACCATGGTCAGCCCAGGCGCCAACTTTCTCAAATGAGTTCCTGTCTCGCTCTGCTTATCTTTACAAGAAACACAAGATGAGGGTGATTTACCAAACCACCTCCGGTATCGACAAGCACTAGGACAGCAAGAACTGACCCCCCCCATCTGGATTCATTTAAGCAACAGAACGTCAGTAGGTTTCGTGACTGGCTTCAGCATAAATAAACCATCTAATGGACCACGGAACAAAGAACCCGGCATCTGGAAAGATTCCCGCGACAGAATCGCCCGGACCTCATGACCGCTTAACACATAAATTGATAATCCCGTCAACAAAAGAGACAATTTTAGAGCTCCCTGTCCAGCAGAAGGATGGCAGATCCACACTCGCTTGACATGGGCATGACCTCAGGACACCTCCCCTTTTCCCCCTGCATTCCAAAAAAAAGGGACACAAGCTTACACAGACAATTCATAAGACCATCATTTGAAAGTATCGGAGCAATAGATTCACAAATAATATGGTGTATGTCTTATATATATATATGCTTGATGTGTTCATGTAATCGGTGCAACTTTAATCAGTGTTTATTACCCTTTTTAGGAAATGAGGTTATTAATATGTGTGTAAGATATGTGAAGTTTAGTATTGAACGTAAACTTGTGATAATTGCAGAATATTGAAATAAGTGAAAAGCTGTTATTTCAAACAGTATGTGTTGTACGACACTATATAGAAGTTATTAACAAAACCTGCAAATCTTCATTTCTCCACATAATAAATTGGAGCCTCTTGGTAATGTATGCAGGCTCCGCCTTGCAACAAGTCGATTAGAAGGTTGCGTCATGGGACGGACTTATGCAGCGGATCAAAACTCAATGCAGAACAGATTTGCTTGCTTGCTTTCGCCTGTCGCCATGTTAAGAGCACTCCAACTTGTGCTCACACGCTTACCATCAAAGCGATCGGTCATCTAAAACTCAAACACTTCAGTGAAACTTCGCGATCTTCAAAGAACTCTGAGTCTTGCAAACTCAGACTGTAGCAAAACTGCTCAAGCTTCTGGCGTCATCAAGAGACCAACCAATCCAACGAGGGGTCTCCCCAAAAGGACGTCATCCAAACGTCACCTCAGCGACCAATCCGAAAGCTCCGGGGTTCCCTCAGCAGCCATCCAGGAAGCCTTCGTCAGTAACGGGACAACTCAGCTTCTCAGCTTTCAGCAAACGCAAGTACAAACAAAACCTTCTATCTGCTGAACTGACGCTGGTGAATTTAGTTAAGCAGTAAAGATAAGAAAATATCTGCTTTGTGAATTCTCTCAGGTGAATTTAAATCACTCGTGAAAACGAGTTAGAATTTTGAAACTTCATGCAACTCCGTCAACTC